TATACTCCAGTACACAGCCCCCCTCTAAACTCATGTGGGTACACATGTGGGGACCCGCATGAAAGACCCCCTAAGCTTATTTTTACCAGCTTAGGTTAAAAACTTTCCCAAGGCACAAATTCCACCTTGTCCTTGAAAAGTATTCTGCCACCACCATGTGAGTTAAAGAAAGATTCAGGAAAAGGACCACTTGGAGTTCCTGTTTCCCCCAAATACCCCCCCCCCCAAGCCCTTCACCCCTTTCCTGGGGAGGCTTGAGAATACTCTACCAACCAGATATGTAACAAGGTGAGCACAGACCAGACCCTTGGGACACTAAAACCCAATCAGATTCTAAAAAACCCAGACTTTATTATAAAGAAAGAAAAAGTAAAAGAATCACCTCTGTAAAATCAGGATGGTAAGTACTTTACAGAATAACAAAAGATTCAAAAACACAGCGGATTTCCCCTCTAGGCAAAACTTTAAAGTTACAAAAGCAGGGATAAACCTCCCTCTTAGCACAGGGAAAATTCACAAGCTAAAACAAGAGATAATCTAACTCATTTCTTTGCTATTACTTACTATTTCTGCAATACTAGATGCTTAGTCCAGATATGCTTAAGGAGATGTATTTTTCCTGCCCTGGTTCCTTGCTGACTCAAAGAGAACAAAACAAAGACATAAACAAAAAACTTCCCCCACAGATTTGAAAGTATCTTCTCCCCTTATTGGTCCTTTTGGTCAGGTGCCAACTAGGTTTTCTGAGCTTCTTAACCCTTTACAGGTAAAAGAGGAATTAACTCTTTACAAGGTAAAGAGGGATTTTATGCTACTCTTAGCTGTATGTTTATGACAGGGCCCTGTTGTGCTGGGCACTGATCATACACACCAGTACACAGTCCATCCTAAACCACATGAAACTTACACCATTGAACACTACCTAGATCTTATTCCATAGGCAGGGTACACATAAGGTGAAGACCTGGCCCCTCTGAAGTCAATGGGGTCAGGATTTCACCCACAGTGTTTATGTCAAGCCACTGGGCAGCATTCACTATTTTACAAGGGAAACCAAGGGCAAGTTCCCAGCTGCAGCCAAAGATTGAACAGAGTGGGAGTGCAAAGGACTGTGTGCACTGGGCTGGCCCCCGGAGTAATTGGGAGTATAGAGCTTGCCAGTAACTCCTAAGGATCAGTGTATCAATTGGGGGTCAGTGCAGTGCAAGGAAGACCCAATCATAATTTCTTCCTCCCCAGCCCCATGCACTATTCAAGCCATTGGGAAGTAGGTACGTTACTGGAGGATCACCATACGTTGGGATAAGTCCCACCCATGGCCAGCTTTATGAGTAGAGCTGGTCAACAATTTTCGGCTGGAACATTTTTCCATTGGAAAACGCTGATTTGATTAAACATTTCCTGGGAACTTAGCAATTTTGTTGAAATTTGCAATGGGAAATGATTGAAACATTTTATCATTTGCACTTTAATATAATAGTATATAACCTAATAAACATAGGTTTCAGAGTAGCAGCCGTGTTATTCTGTATCCGCAAAAAGAACAGGAGTACTTGTGGCACCTTAGAGACTAACAAATTTATTGATGGATTTCCACTAAATTTGTTAGTCTCTCTAAGGTGCCACAAGTACTCCTGTTCTTTTTGCTAATAAACATAAACATCTAAATGTTTTGACCATATCAACATATAACATCTTGATAAGATGGTTTCAATGGTTCTGAAACAAAATATTTTGGAATTTTTGTTTTGTGGTATATTTTTAAATTTTAACTTTGCATTCCTCTTTCAGTCAAAAGGCAATACCAAAACGTTGGAATTTCCTGTCAAACAGAAATTTTGTTTTCCTACCAGCTCTATTTGTGGATGTTGGGTGTCCATTGCACCAACCATGCAGAGCAGGTCAGAATACGGCCCAATGCTTTTAAAGCATCAAAAAAGGCCAGGATGAATTCCCTCATAGGCAGCCAAGTCAGTGCACAAGAGTGGATAGAGCGTTAGGTGCTTTTTATAGTGACAGGATTCTCGGCATACGGTATTTTGGATGATGTTTCAGTTTTATTCTGTACTTATCTGATGTCAGAAAAGTACATATTAAGTCTTCACAAAAAGGGGGGGATTTTTTAATCAGCTTATTATAGGCTTCCATGTATAATAAAGCATTTATCTGGCAGTAAACCCTGAATCCTAAAGGAGTTCATTGTAAAGTGACAGATTCAGGTCAGGGACATTAATGAACAACCGATTGATGTGTGATGCATAATGATTGGGGAAGATGGCGTTTCTGTTTTACAGAAGAACACCGGAACATAGGAGTTGCCAGGCCCGATATCCTGCCACTGGCAGTGGCCAACACCTGATGTTTTAGAGAAATAGGAAAGAAATTCTATAATCAAGGTATTCCATTGAGCCAACAGTGCACTGTGTAGAGAAATGCCTTCCTTAGCCCCCCTCCTCCACACGATCAGCTTGCACCCTGAGGCATGAGACCTGATTTCACCCTATGACCTTAGCTCCTGTAGCTGTAAATGCAGAAAGGCAGGGTGGTCCATTGGATAGGGGACTTAAAAAAGGAGACCTCTTTTTTTTCCCCAACCCACAGCTCTACCACTGATCTCCTAGGTGACGTTAAGCAAGTTTCCCATAACATTACATGTCTAGATCGTATATTCCTTGGAGCAGGGATTGTCTCTCACTATGTGTATGTTCAGTGTCTATCACAATGAGTCCCAAAGGTGGCTCTCCCCAAACTCAGTGATCTTTAATGTCATTGACTGACCCCCTTATTTCCCCCTGCAAGATATTGATATGACTCTGCCCTGGAAAACCACTCAGATAGTGCAGAAGGCAGCTGCCCCTTTATTAATGCTTTTCTAAGCAGCAACACGAGGCAGAGACTTTGTTTTCTTATGTGTCCGTACAGCACCTAGCACAGGGGTTCTCAAACTGGGGGTCGGGACCCCTCAGGGGGCCGCGAGGTTATTACATGGGGAGTCGCGAGCTATTAGCCTCCACCCCAAACCCCGCTTTGCCTCCAGCAGTTATAATGGCGTTAAATATATAAAAAAGTGTTTTTAATGTATAAGGGGGGGTCACACTCAGAGGCTTACTATGTGAAAGAGGTCACCAGGACAAAAGTCTGAGAACCCCTGACCTACCACAACGGGTTCCTGGCCTATGACTGAGCTCCCGTGATACTACTGCAATACAAATAACCATAATGAAATGATCATTAATACCCTGCACATGCTCTGTAAACTTCACTGGCTACCAGTTTGTTTCTGGGTGCGATGCACAGTGTCTGTCTTGATCTATAAAGCCCTATATGCTTTGGGTCCTCACTGCCTTGGAGTCTCATCTCATTATGCACCGCCCCAGCAGTTGAGATTAGCAGGGAAATTCATGCTAATGGGCCTAATTTTAAACTCTGGGCTCTCGAGGCATAGGCTCCTAAGCGCAGGAATTCGTATAGGGCTCAGACCTACAAGGGGCTGAGCACTCTGGCCCTGATCTGGAAAAGCACTTAACTTTAAGCACAGGGAAAGCAGTAAGTTCTGTGTATGCTTAAGCATGTGCTTAATGCTTTGCTGGATTGGGGCCAGAGTGTTCAGCATCTTGCAGGCCTGAGCCCTGAACTGATCCACCTAAGCCCAATTATCTTGACTTTCAGAGCAAACTGCAGGGCTTTCTTATCTACATAGGCAATTTCCTGAGTGAGCTGCCAGCTTACTCTGAGCTTTTTGCATCAGTCTTCACCTCAGAAATGAAGGCGAATGTAAAACCACCGCAGAGTGGACAATGAAAATGATTAGGTTTCCATATGAAGAGAGATGAAAATCACTGGGACTGGTTAGTATATAGAGAAGTGAAGAAGGGTATACGAAACAGGTATACAAATCAAAGAATGGCATAGAGAAGGCAAATCAGGTGCCCCATCTACTCTTTCTTGTTATTACAGGAAAAAGGGAATAGTCCGTTAAAATGAAAGACAACACATGTAATATTGATTGAAGGAAATTTTCTTTTTTAAACAGTACATAATTAAACTGTGGAACTCACTGCCACAAGACAGCATTGAGGATAAGAAGTTAGCAAGATTCAAAATAGGCTTTGATGAGGTGTGCCAGGTGTTTGTTGTCCCTTTCCTGTGGCCCAGATGCCCTGGCACACCCCACTCTCAGAAGGTGACCTGCTGTAAGGGAAGAGCAGCAAGTTTGGACCTCCAGGGTTTGCCTTGACAGTGTCGGAGAAAAACAGAGTTCTCATTCTCAGTTTGGGTGCAGCTTCTGCAAATCTCGCGTTATTAGGGTTACAGCTAGCCTGACTCTTGCTCACATAAGGGGACTGTTTGGATCTGAAATCCCCTTCAAATCCCTGTCAGTTCTTTCTCTACTTCCACAAGAGGCTTCCCACGATCAGATGCTGGCACAACCAAAGAGAGTTGGTCCTCCAGTGCCTAGAAGGGCTGTGTTCAGGTAGAAGCCAATCCGGGCCCAGTAGGCTAGATAAAAAATGGCTGGCTGCTTCTATTAGAGGCCAGTTCTGCTTGAAGCAAGGACAGGGGAGTGTGTCCCTTTCAGTCCTAACTTGGCCTGGTCAGGGCCCAACCTTGACAACATTGGCCTTGGGTCTCTATGAAAGGTTATTTTTTTATGTTTTGGACTTCAGTATCTGACCTAGACCTAGTATTCCCAGCTACATTAGACGGGACATTATATTTAAGAAGAGATCTAAAACCCTTATGCTTCAGGGGATAAGCCAGGCACTAAATGACAGGGGTTAGGAAGAAATACACTACGGGCAAGTAATTCCAAAATTGTCCTGTACAGAGTTTCCTGTACCTTCCTCTGAGGCACCTATCACGGTAGACTGTCAGAAACATGATACTAGAAGACCTCTGGTTTGAGCTGGCACGGCAATTCCTATTTGTATAGAGTCCTTTTTTTTTTTTACTACTAGTGTAGTTACTCTCCGTTTGCAATGGCTTTACATGTGTTTGTAAATATGCTTGATGAACAAATTAACTAATTAATTAGGTCAATAGTATGGAACAGTTCTTTCTCAGACAAAAGGCTTGATCCAGCTCTCAAATGCACTAGTGTAAATTAGGATTTAACTCAGTTGAAATTAGTAGACTTTTCACTAGTGCAAGATCCAAATTAGAGCCCTGATGAACAGAAAATAGTCCTGGATCAAAATCCTGGTTTCAAACTCCATCTTAGCTTTTGTGGGAGGGTCAGAATCTAAATCGAAACCCAGATTCAGGTCTTTGGCCCCTGCTTGGTTAAAGAATCAAAACAAAACCCTGGAGCCTAATGCCTCAAAGGAAAGGTTTCAAATCCAGGTCTGAATTTCGCGGTTCAGGGCACATCATAACCCTCTGTGAATGACAAAATAATATGTAATTGTGCCATGTCATTACTAAAAACATAGAGCCAAGTCCCAGCTTTCCTTACACCTCCATGAACTATAGTAACTGGAGTTGTGCTCCAGTAACCAGGTGGTAACTGAGATCAAGGTTTGATCCCCTGTTTCCAAAAACAAAACTGGAATAAGTCTGTCTTTATTTGTTGCAAATTTCTGTTGTGTTTTCTCCTTCCACCAGAACCAGCAAAGACTTCCCCCACTATCCCCAGCTCTTCGGTCCCTTGGGAGGGAATCAGGATTGTAAATGAA